TACTGCTGCATCCTGCTACATTCCTTCGAGCGCGACGCCCCTTTCACCGCGACGCGACCATTTCGTTCCTAACGCACCACACCCGGGAAGGGGGAGGGGGATATTGTACTTGAACGTTCCAAAAAGCGTAGCCCCACACGAAGTTTTCAAAAGCAGGCCTATGAAGGTTAAAGACATTTTTGAACCGAGCGCAAGCACTAGAAAACTACTCGAAGCAAGCAGAGATGGTAACAGGACCGAGTTGCCGTTGGGTTGCACATCGACCCAGAAAATGAGCTGCCCCAGAGGTATACTACCTATTCGAAGGAAGGAGACTAAACTCAAGGCACCCCAAAAATTGAAGGAGTAGACCTTTCGACTTTCTCGCGCTGTGGGGCGAAAATGACCTATTTATCCTATTTATTGTCGGACTGGGTGGAGGCTGCAAGCTGCTAGTCTTCAACTTTCCGAAGCCTCAAGGGATCTTTCGACATGAACACTGTACATACACGGTGGAGTTTCAAGACTGAAGCGTTATAATTTGCTGAGGAAGTCGTAAGTGGAAAGTTCTGAAATGCTCAGGTTAAGGCTTATGTGGGAAAAACGTTGTGTTTCGGAATCTACAGTTTATGCAAAGTTTGTTAACGTATGGCCCAGCTGAATGCGCTTTCATGCGACGACTTGAGCAATAAAATAGTGGCATAACGTCGCAAATCCGAACCCGTCACCTTTCAAAAGAGGGTCTGGACTCTTATCCGCTACACCGTGAAACCACCCTGCTTTGACTTGGCCTCGGCGTATATCATCCTGGTTGAACTTTTAAAATTCACTGATTCAGAGAGAACAGGGACTCTTGGTGAATGCAGTAACAGAAAGAACGACCACCTATACTCTTTTCTATTATCCTCCTCGAAGAATGACCTAAAATCCATACGCAAATGCAGCTCTCTTTCCCATGAACTTTACCCACATTACGAAATCCTCTCAAAAGTTTCTCAAAAACGATATTTCCCTCAGTAATATCCCCCAAGTACCCACTTGCCGCCCCGATGTCGTCTCGAAAGAAACATCCCGCTTCTTACTAAAAAAATATCTTACAGCGAAAATTCTTTCAAATCATTCCCTCAAGAAATGTCTTTTTTAAACTTCACACTCCTGATACTTCAACTACTTTTTCAAAGTATATCTCCCTTACTGAAACCTCTTCTCGAATGCCTTTAGTTTCTTGCGTTTTACCCTAAAACGATTCTCCTAGACTCTTTAAAAACTGATTTTTCAACCTTATATGAACTAATCAATCACCACACCTTTTACACTAATCACCTAAATCATATTTATAATGAATATCCAACTTGAACCCCACATTCTTACAAAATACATATAATATCCTGTCTATTCCCCGTTCAAAACAGTACCTCCCTGTCAAGATTCCTTCAGGATCTCCTCACAAGGTCCAGTTCCACCCTGTACGCCCTCCTCCTACTGGTCAACCCCTAACCTTTCAATTTCTCGGACCGTACTTTTGACTCAGCATCCCTAGCATTTCGAACCTACCCACAAATCAGTACATCCATCCACTTTTTACACAGTCGCCCACTCACTCTTCCAGAGACCCATTGTGAATACATCATCCTATCAGAAAAGAGATGGGCATCTAGAAGACACGGCCTCCTAGAACTTCCAAATCAGTATAACTTGATCAGACTTCGTTTCTAAGACACCCAACAAGGAATAAATCTTTATGAAAATCGAACACAAACAACAATAGCAACAAAGACACAACTCCGTAGATCAGCGTTTCTTCGATTCCGCCGAGCATCCTACTTCCCATTAGCGACGGGTTCCAAGTCGCATCTTTAGCCCCTAAACGACTACTATGGATAACTTCTTTTTTTTTGAGCCATGAATCCCCTGCTTATGAAAGCTTGAAAAGGGTTACAACAAGACAAGATGTCTCCCATAATGAACCCCTTGATCAATTTTCTCAGGAAAGGACTAAAACCTCACAATCTGCATAGCTATGGCTTCGGCTTCACGTTTCGGTCTCTCTACAAAAAAATGTCTCCCAACCCGCTACCCTCCGCCTTCTTTGTCCTCCTACCGCCTGAGTTCGTTGACCAGTCACTGAGTGCAACCTCGCCCGGCTGGTCGGAAGTGGATCTATTTTCACATCATCATTTCCTTAGCTACAGACCTTCGCATGACATATGTTTCAACGTTTTCTACGAGAAAAAACTCTCCCATGGAGGCTAATTTGAAGACCTCTTTGAAAAAAAAAGTAGTTAGGCGACTTTTCTTGGTTACAATACAATATTTTGTTGTGTCGTTAGAGCGCTCCAGATTTTCCGTCTCACAGAAGACAGATACCTCGTCGGATTGGCCGGATTTTAAACATCGATTTCATTTTTCTACATTTTAAATCTGCAGAACGACTATGGGAACGAACCAGCAAGTTACGTACGCCTTCCCTATGCGGTATGAGTTGCATTTCTGAATGCGAGAAGTCTTTGTTGTCGTTGGTAGAGCGGGGACCGCAGGCCTGGCACCATTCTGAAGTAAATCTCATCCCGAACAAAGCAAATGCTTCTGTAACTTAAATCGGAATCTGGATTTGAAATCTGCGTCCGAAAACACGTATGGAGGTGAACATCATTTCGATCCGATAATCTTTCCTTATCAGTAAAGTTGAATAGTTCAGTTGTACATTGGAACTACGGATGTGTCTTTACTTCCGCCGATTACATTAACAGTTACGGAAGCGAAGATGTGCAAAGTAAAGTTCCCATTTACAGAACAACCAAGGAACACCTCTGAGCTGTAAACACCCAAGGAAACCTTCGAAGGAAGGATCCAAGTGGGAGCTGGTGGGGTTTTATATTTCTGTTACCTCGCCCCAATACATACAAACAATAGGCCTTCTCAATATAGGCCTACTACTTCCATAACCTACTACAAAGTTGTCTCAATTTCTTGGTGCTCTAGGACTGACTTTGCCAACCAATTAAACGGTTTCAAGCTTCCCCTTGAGTACCAAGGTTTTAATACTAAGGAAAATTTGGAAATCGCGATACTCAAGGAAAAGTTTGAAACCGTTCCATATGATCGCAAAGAACCAATACAGGTTGAGCAAACTTTTTTTGAACGACCAATACAATCAAAGTTCTGATATTGTATGCTTTCCTGTATTAAACAATGATTGGAGTAGTTAATGTAGTCTACTGCAAAATGTCGACGCCATTTATGCCGAAAATATCACACTTCCCCGTAAAAGAGAATGTTTCCCTTTGCTATCAGAAAAATGACTCTCTTTAGGACCATCGTTTCCTTGAACCATCCTTGATTCTTTGAGCTTTGATCGAAATTTTTCAGAAACGGTTCATGGACGAGTAAACCTTTCCAACTGAAACACGATGAGGATCACGCTCTCCAACTCTAACTTTGAAATTACGAGAGTGAAGTGAAAGAGGTATTCAATAGAACAATACAGAAGCCGTTTCATTGAAATATGAAAGATAAAAAATCAATGATGAGTCTCTGGTGGTGCCACGAAAGAGAAGGATGCACCCACAAAGGGCGGTTTTCGCGCCCATTATCGATGGTCACCCCTGGTTGATGTTCAGTGTGGGCGTGATAACAGGTCAGTATCAGGATTTATATTGGTCACGAATCTCCATTTTTTTTAAATATACAGAGGATAATCTTGTTCTCGAAAATTCCAGGAAACAGCTCATCTTCCAAGTGCTACCTGATGCACCAAGGAAACGCGTAAGAATCAGGGTGACACGTCGTTGGTAGGGTAGGGCCACCGCTCTTTTCCAACACTGAGCGCTAGAGCTCAGAGAAGGAGATGTAGCTGATTTAATTATGCTCAATGAATGTTCTCAGCCAACGAATATATTTTTCGTCTAGGCCTTTTAGGGTGGACGGGAGGGCACTGAGGTAGGTGGGATGATTTCCTTGTGCAAAAAGTTTGGAACATGTAAGAAATGAACATTCAATTGACGCGCCTACCTCGGAACTCCTTTCTTCTGAGGCATACTCAAAAGTACCTATCTTTCCCGGCTAAGAAACGTTTCTGAATACCATTACGGGCTCGCGAAGTCGGTCACTCTTCTCTGCGCTCTAGCGCTCAGTGTTAGAAGAGAGCGGTCATCCCTTGTCATTTTGACCCAACACAGGTTATGCTATAGGTGCCAACTTTGCTATGGTTTTTCCGGTGAGCAATATCGACTGGTGGCTTGGTAGAAGCAAAAATTACTAAACTCTCATTGGTAAAGGATAACTACATAAGTTGACAAGGGAAAGGCTGCTTTCATAGTGCGCGGGCCGGCCGGCCGGTGCGCCGATGTGCCGGCATGCCGGCGCGCGTGCCGGCGGAGGCAGTGCTAGGGGGGAGGGAGGCAGACAGTGTAAGGCAAACAGTCCACGCCCCTTCGAAGGTTGTTTGTTCTCAACCCCCCAAG